AATCAAAAACTTTGATATAGATCACCTTTTACTAAAAAATCCTTCGCACGATCTCTATAAAAGGTGCGTTTTACATTTTGAAATTTTTAAAAATATATTTGAAAAGTATTATTATGTGAATGGCATTAAAAAAATTATAATAAATAGCATAAAAGAAGAAATGAAAAAAATGTACAAAGCGAAAATTGGTTCGAGGAGCCGATGTGCGGGAGCCATCGCGAAATTTTGTTGGACTTCTTAATAAAAGTTCTATTATATAAGAACTCAAAGTGGGTACTAAAAATTAGCAGATAATGCAAAATTTAAAAATAAATTAAAAAAATTGTAAAAATTTATATTTATGTAAAAATATTAGTCTAATAATACTTATGAATGATTAAAAAAAGTAACAATAAATAATATTATTCACCCTTATATAAATAATTTTATTTTAAATAGTTATAAGTAATATGTAATTAATAGTTAATAGTTCTAGTTAATTTTGTATAATTAGTTATCTAAGGTTTATAATTGTATTCTATATAATTTAAGTAATTAAATTTAGTTAATAATTCTATTATATTTGATATAAGAATATAATAATAAAAACTTAATATATAAAAATAATCAATTATTGTATAATATGGTTTTTATGAATATTACTGTATGGCATAGCCGAGTCTTGATAGCCAAACATATTAAGAGCATTTACACTAATAACAACTGTGGTTGCGCTACTCCGGTGTTTTCGCATCATGTCATAGGCAAACATCATATTTTAGTATGAAGCTAGTATAAAATTTCAGCAAAAATCAAATTTTAAATAATTTGGAAGACTTGTGCATTTCATGCACACGAAGCCAGTCATATATTTTAAGAAAAAAAAGCACACAAACAAAATCCAAGCATCACATTCAAAAATATTGTCTCACCTACCCATGCACATATATATTTAGTAAGTGTGCAATAAAAAGAAGAGTAGAAAAAATTTACCAAGAAACTTACATACGCATGAGCTAGAAGCTATGTGTGCATTTGCTCTGATATTAGAGTTTTTTCTATATGATTTTGTCCAAGCAAAATACAACATGTTCGCTATTGGTTTGATTGCTGACTTCCCTAACAAAATAGCATTGATCATACATAAAATAATAAGTTCGATTGTTTATACGTTTGAACAGACATGTTTTTCCCATTGCGTGTACCTTTTCAGAATTCATGATTTTTTTAACAGAGGCTAATTACATGTCTTTATATTTCTATGTTTTTGATGTTATGCTCTTTGAATGTTAATAAATGCAAAAAAGTCAGTGTTTCAATTCCATAACATTTCAACTTTAAATTAACTGACTAGCATTTGTTTTATAATGTTAAGCTGGATGTTTTACCATTTTGTCAACAATATAACGATTATTCTGAAACGATTATTCTGATTTCTTATTTATATTTTCAAGCAAATAAAAATTTAATCCTTCTGAAAAACAAAATCATTGGTGTTCTGTTAGTAAAAGTCACAAAAGTTATATAACAAATTTTTTGGTATAACCAATTTTAAATTCCATTCAATGAAAGTTTGACTTTCAATTCACCTTCATTACTTAAACAAGTAAATGAGTTAATACGTAATGAGTTACTATGTAATGAGTTAATTGACATATACATTTTACATTTTAAATATTTATAATAATTATCTTTTATGGTGGTGCGAATAATAAATGCCTATCTCAGTTCATCGATGTAACTATTGAGTAGTGCATATCATATTAAGTTAATATTATTAACACAAAAACTAGTTCAATAGATATCTAACAGATAAAGCTGTATTAGTATTCTATTAGAAATTATACTACGCCTTAATAAAAATATGTTATAATTATAATAAAATAATTATAATTATAAAACAATTATTATATTATTATAATTATATATATATATATAAATAATTATAATAAATAATGACAATAATTATCAAAGAAAATAAAAAAAAATTCGAGTCTGTCCAAAATTTCAATATGTTTCTCAAAGATAATTATTTTTGCAAAATTCTTTTTTAATGTCTAAAACATTTCTAAAAAACATTTTTGTAAAATATATTCTACTATTGCGTTTTTATCGTTGTTTTTATTCTAATTTTGTTTTAACTTTAGGATACTAATGCTGGTAATCTAGCACTTTGGCCTTTACTAATTTTGCTACATGCACCTATACAACATTTTATGCTGTTTTGAGCATAATGTGCTTGCATAAATGGAGTGAAGGAGTTTGTTTCACAATTAATATTGATAATTCAATTTTGTGCAATACCTATGTAGTGTTAAATGTTAATTTTTGAAATTAAATATGATACGTCTTATTATGAAAAGAATTATTTTTCAGTAATCTTTTAGAATATATTCGATTTTTTTATATAGTTTATAGTCTTATATATGAAGTCGATATATAGTAGTTTATAGTCTGTTTATAACTGATTGGACTGCAAGTGCCAAACTTAGAACATGTATCTGTGAAATTAGAAACGACGACCAATCGTGTTATGCTATTACTAGCCAAGGCTGCACAAACTTTCAATGCTTAAATTCTAAAATATTTTAAGATTTTTCTTAACATTATAAATATTTGTATAGACATTTTCTACGATAATTTTTTGTTACCTTGTTACCTTGGATTTTGGCTGATCTTCTTCATTTTCGTTATAAGCGCTGTTAGTTGGCACTTTGTTTGACCTTTGTATTATTGTGGCCCATCAAAATTTATAGATCAGAAAACTTGAATGGAATAACATGACAAACATATGATCTTAGAATGGATGTAGGTTAAGGAAGATGATGGATATGAAGAATATTTGTGTGGGATGGGAAATGGATTACAGCTTAATCCTGTGTATGTGTGCTAACCACTTTGGCTGCTGTTTCTTTTAATATATATACTTAAATGAAGTCGACAATAGGTTAGGAATGGGTATGCTTGACAGTATTGTGAGAACAAGAAGAGTGACCGGGGATAGGAAGGGATTAAGAGTATGGGCTGGGTGTGGGTGATTCACTTTGCCCATTTATTGTTTACAATATATATTTAACGAAATTGTATATATTTCACTGAAGACCTACAATTATTACATGTGTAATTGCAGTGACAGATTTTTTTTATATTTATATATATTACATTTAATTTATATGAATTAATTGAATTTCATATTTTTAAATAGAACCGGCTTGTGAAATACATATAAATCCATTAGTTATTTAGTAACAAAATTCTTTAATGTCTGGCTTAAATATTTTAGTAAATCAAATGATATGATACGAGTATATATGATATGATATATTTTATATAAATTAAGATATAAATGTCATTTATTTAAGAATTTTACAAATAATAGATTTTATAGCAGTGTTTTGTTAAAGCAAAAGCTGGGTGTTAAAGTACTAAAGTACTATAATTGTGAACTGAACAATCAGTTCACAATTTGTGAGACTTTACTAATGTCACGTAATTTGTATAAAATTGATTCAAATCCTTATAAATATCAAAAGAGAGTTAAGAGAGGAGATGTTATAGCAGGTTAGTAAATTTTGTTTACTGTGTATATAATAATATAAATTATCCGATAATTATCATTTTAGATAAAGATTCAACATTACCGTCAATTTTTTTTGTTTCTGCTTCTCAATAAACTTCGAACACATTTAAATAAAAGCTTTAGAGAAAAAGTAACGTCTCTTTGACGAGATTAATGAAGGTGTCTTTCTCATTTTTGCATCGAGCTCAGAGTTTTGAGCCTGGGTGTATGTTATTATCGAATCGCGGTTTTGGAAGTATTATTAGATGTTGATTGTTTGATTGCTTGATGTCTATTTGATGTCTATTTACTAGATAATATATTAAAGCTACATGTACGATGTAACCTGATTGGCATTGAGTTAGATATTTGGATTAAGGAATGACAAATTGCAATAAGTGACAGAGCGATTATATCTTCAAATTAACACAATTCTCATTTAAAAACTCATACCATTTCCTACGATGATAGTGCTGTCCAGCGATGAATTTGTTAATCATCTAATCAATAACTAAATCATTTAGTGACAACCAGTTACTAACGTAAAATGGAAGCACTCCAGATATATAGAGAAAAAGATGCAAGTGTTTGTCAAGAAGTGTCTACGTAGAATTCTGAAAATGTGATGATTAGATCGAATATCAAATGAACGTCTGCTAAACCAAACCACTCAAAAAGCGAAAGTATGGTAAGTGGACGCTTAGACAACCGGGAGATTACATAGTGAGGCAAGCATTGGCATGGAATCCACAAGTTAGCAGAAGACCTAGTGCGCCAGTTAAAACTTGGAGAAAGTAAGTTTGCTGAAGCATGATATACATGGAACTACATCTACAGAGAAGCACTAAATAGAGTCAGATTTAGAAGAATTATTGAGGCTGTATGCCCCACTGGGGGAAATGGACAACAGTAGTAACTTACTTATAACATAGATACATAGTCAGAGCATGCCTCGAAATAATTTGAAGGACTGTATTTATACTTTTGCGTATTTGTTATTAATGCGGAATGACTTTTAAATGAGATACCTTTTTTTTTTTAAATATTGAAATTAACTGTAAAAAACCTAGAAATTAATTTCTAAGTATGTGTCGGCGATAGTGACTTTTTAACACAAATAATATTAACTACCCGTTGTGCGCTTAGTCTCGACTACTTATACATCTCGAAAACCGTCATTTTGGAACCGTAATTTAAAAGTCTATAAGCGAAATCTGCTAAATAAAATATGCCACCGGAAATATCATTAAGAGCGAAGTTTATATAGCGAATTAGATTTGAAATTAAGCTTTATAGGCTAAGCTTGGTTTATTACAACATCAATTTTTATTTAGCAAAGTAACAAATTAATGTTAATTTGAATTGAGTGGTAAAACCTTCAGGAGTAAAAAATTTCCTTGCAAAGCTCAATATGTGAAAAAAAAATTATTTATTTTATATATGCCACATTTCTTGTACCAAAATGAGTATTCTCAGCTCTTAGTAATATTATGTTTTCACATCGCAACCCAATTGAAGCAGGCAATTTTTATTTTTATATCATAATAAATCATTTGTATTAAAATATAATTACAAAAATTTTTAAATATTAAATTATTAATTATATTTATATTGTTTAACATTTATTTCAAATGTTTTTCTTTAAATTTAATCTTTTTCTGAATAGATTTTGTAATACTCCCGTTACGTCGGTAAATATAAAAGTGGATTACCTCTTTCTTAACATTTATTCCCGTTTTTAGACCAAAGTATTACTTGGGAAATTTGCGAGCCACTCCTAAGCTATATATATCAATCAAATCAAATAAACAAAAATATTTTAAAAATATTCTATTATTGATCATTTATATATTAAGTTTTCCATATATCTTTTGAATACACTAAAGTTTTAAATTTGTTTTTCGTTTTAGGTGTACTATGGGTTTATAGCAACATAATTGAAGGTTCTGTCGAAACAATGAATCGTTTCAAAGAACTAGGAAAAAAAATATTTTTTTGTACAAATAATTCCACAAAAACCCGTACAGAATTATTAGAAAAAGCAGTCTTCTTAGGATTTAGTATAGAAGAGGATAGCATAATATCGACAGCTCATTCCGCTGCAGCATACCTCAAAAATCGTAATTTTAATAAGAAAGTTTATGTCATTGGCACAACTGGTATAACTAGAGAACTGGATTCCGTTGGTATCGATCATACACCAGTTGGGCCAGATGTAATGGAGGGTACACTGCAACAGTATTTATCGCAGCATTTCAAGCCGGAAGAAAATATAGGTGCAGTTCTAATTGGTTTCGATGAACATTTCAGTTTTCCGAAAATGACTAAAGCTGCCTCATATTTAAGTGATCCAGATTGTTTATTTATTGCAACGAATACCGATGAGAGATTTCCAATGCCAAATTTGGTTATTCCCGGTACTGGCAGTTTTGTACGCGCTATACAAACGTGTGCTGAACGTGAACCTTTAGTAATAGGAAAACCTAATCCTGGTATATGTGAATGGTTGATTAAGCGAAATGTCATTAATCCAGCACGTACACTTATGATCGGTGATCGGTATGTCTAATTGAATTATTTGTAATATGAGATAATGATATATATTATTTTATTATCTATTTTATTAGTTGCAATACAGATGTATTGCTCGGCTATAATTGTGGTTTCCAGACATTGCTTGTTGGTACTGGCATACATCATCTAAACGATGTAGCAGAATGGCAATCTTCAACAGATCCAGAATTAAAAAAATTAATTCCAGATGTGTATTTGCCCAAACTTGGAGATTTATTGCAGTTTATGTGATGTAATATAAAGAGAATCGGCATAGCCAGAAAAGACGCTACTATAATTGGTTTAATTT